CACAGCGTCTTACCGATGTCTCTCTTGAAGCTTTTAGAGATTGTGCTCTTCAGGTATCTTCATGCCTATTCGTTAATAAATTAGAACAAGTAGATAAGGGGTATTGTAGCAGCTGATTCATTTATGTGATTTTGAGGTCAGCCAAACTCTTGATGAAGTGATTTTGGCATTACAGGATCTTAATATGGGAGAATATCCTGGTCTAAATGACCACTGGATGGATGTCATCTCTTCACAGGGTCCATCTCTACTTTCCCTAGATGTGTCTGGATCTGATGTCACAGATTCTGGACTGACTAATCTCAAAGATTGCAAAAATCTGCAAGCACTAAATCTTAATTATTGTGACCGGATTACGGACCGTGGAGTGGAAAATATAAGTGGTAAATATTTTTTTCCCTCTGATGTGCTGTCTTACTGGAGGAATGTATGTAAGTCATCTAAACATTCATAGCACAACTCCTTAAGCAGTGATGGGGATAGAAAAGGAAGAGAACAAATTTAAATGGCAAAAAGTTAAAGAAGGCGTAGTCCTTGAACTGCTGGATGAACTGCGCTATAATATTTCCTAGTGAATCTAGTTTTGAAGGATAAACTTTGCAGGGGAAGTTTGTCTTTTACCTTGTATTTTTCCATAGTAATACTGGCTACTTTTTAAGCTGCATGATACATTGAAAAAATTTCTCTCAAAACAATGTATGGGGTTTTATCTAGGTTTGATTTTAAAGTTGTGTTTTCTTTGGAATTGTTCTGTAGATAGAAGTTTCCTTTATTCATTTGTTTTTTATTATCTACTGCTTCTTTACATATATAATAATATCTAAGCAATTTTTTTGAGATACTATAATCCAACTTCAACCCCCCAAATTCCAATATTCCCTTCCATTTTGTATTTGTGGTATAGCTGCTAACTACACAATGATTTCAGGTCTATCAAACTTGACTACTCTGAGTTTTAGGAGAAACAATATACTTACTGCTCAAGGGATGAGTGCGTTGGCTGGGTTAATTAACTTGGTGAAGTTAGATTTGGAGAGGTGCCCAAAAATTCACGGCGGTATGGTTCATCTTAAAGGTTTGTTCTTCTCCCTAGACCCTAATGGTGCTTAACTGTCTATAGTTCGTACAGCACCCTTTACAGTTTCAAGCTTGAAAAGCCAAAAATTCTGTTGCAGTTATACTCTCCATGAAAAGTTTGTTGTCTTAATTTGGCTGTCGAAATTCTTGCGTTCAAGTCTATGAGTAGCTAAACTCCCGTATGACCGTTCCAAGTTTTATTTTCTTTTAACACAAGTCAATTCCTGTGTATAGGTGGATCAGATAGGATTTTTAGAGAAGAATCTGTAACCAGTTGTGTATATATCTTGTGTATTGGAGTCTCCCATTTATCGAATAATAAAATATCATTACTGATTTGAAAAAAAACTTAGTTCTTTATATATGATGTGATTGATATGACAATAAGATTGTGGTGAGCTGCAGAATAACTGACATGATGGTGGTAATATGAAATTGATGATGTTAGCTTTCTACATGTTTTCTTATGGAACTCGCAAGAATCTGCTCCCGGGATTGTACTTTTAAGCCTGTTCTGATGTTTCTGGTTTCCTCTAGTATAACCTATTATGTGGCATTTTGATTTCTGTATGAGCTGATACATGTACACTCTCTCTCTCTCTCTCTCTGTATATATATATATATATATATATATATATATATATGATGAAGTAATTTATTGAAGTGGGAAAATTTCCCTATACAAGAAGTATATCAAAAAGTAGAGAGCCTACCCGAGATAGTTAATTTTAGCAAAACCATATGGTTTTCCAAATTGCACCGAATACTCTATATACAGTTAGTATAGTTAATTTTGGCAAAACCATGATTTTATGCCCCCATTGTCTTCTGTGCATAAATGTACTGAACTTGATCCAAGGATTTTTATTCGTGGCAGGTCTAACCAAGCTTGAATCTCTTAATATCAATTGCTGCAACTGCATCACGGATTCGGATATGAAGCCTCTTGGGGGTATGTCTGCCTTGTTCTACTATTCAGATCGCATCGTATCTGTATATCGGAAAAAAACATAAATAAGAAAGCAATTAACTTGGGGAAAGAATTGAAAAAGAGGAATGGAGAAATGAAACCTTAAGATGTGGCCTGCTATTACTGAAAGATTGATGATTATTTCAATTTAGAGGCTTTAGTTATCGAACTGGAAGGCATGAGCCTCTTTCCATTGTAAATCACAATCAGTTGCTTATGTTGAAGGTCATTGATATTAAGGACACCTTTTATCCGTGCATATGCGTCTGTCAAGACAGGTCTATAGCTATGCAAGTCTCTTATGGATAGACAGGAACAGCAAGGATTTAGGAAAATTGAAATATGAATTGTATGGGAATGTTTGTATTGTTTTCTCCTATAAGTCTCTTAGTTTCCCTGCTGTAGATCTGGTTTTGAAATGCTAATTGCTAATAATATTCTTTCTTTATTATTCATACTAGTGATAGTAGAATAGTTATTCAGATATTTCTCCTCAACTGTTATGATTTGTTTAATGAAGTATTCATTTCTTTCGACCAGCCACAGACCTTTTGGATATAACACAGTATGTTGAGGGCGCGTGCCATTAATTTAAGTGAGATATAAGCAACAGAACGATCACAAATTATTTGCTTCCCTCTGAGATGTTCCCTGTCCTATTCTTTTGGTAGATATCTTTGCAATAACACAAGAAATAGTGTGTTGACAATATTGCACCCCGTAGGGTGGTCAGTGAAGTGAGTTCAAACCTTGGGGATCAGGGTTCAATTCCAACGGAAACAAAAAATATTAAGGTGATTTCTTCCCATATACCTAAGCCTTGGTGGCAGTTGCCCGGTACCTATGCGGTACCTATGCTGGTGTGAGGTAACAATACCCTGTGGAATAGTCTGGTACAAAATTGTGCGCATGCTGAATTTTGCTCTTTAATTTTCACAAAATTACTTAATGCGACACATCATGCACAGAAAGCTGAATTTCAACGAGATATAGAGGATAGTATGCGATCTTTTTACTACTTGTGCTGAAATGTTCTGTGTTCATATTTTGTTTGTGATAAAGTTGTTTTATGTTTGTATTTCAGGCCTGACAAATCTGAAAGTGTTGCAAATTTCATCCAGTAAGGTCACAGATTATGGTGCTAATTTTCTGAAAGGTACATATTCTCCCATGTTGAGTACTGTTAGTTGTCACCTAATATGCCACACCTTTACTAGATGGATATGACAAAGGGATGTCCTTTTCTCTCAACTAGCAGTTCTGGACCTGCAAGGCCACCTGATTATTACCCCCATTAGGTTTGGGATTTAAGCTATTTCTAAGTGAGATTTCGGAGTTGGGTCTTGGCTATTGAACTGGCTAATGTTTAGACCTCATTAAGTGCTTTAATCGAAGGTAATGCCTATTTATGAGATGGTTGGAATCCCCCTTCGCAACTGATCCTTAGAAGATCTTTTTTTTTTTTTTTTTTGTGAGAAGGTAAAGTGTCCAGTATATTCAAAAAATCATCAGCACAAACTTTGTGCTGGAAGCCAAAATAGGCAATTACAATATGGAAAAGCAAAAATATAGTTCTTGTTCTTCTTATAAGGAACTCAAAACATCTAGGATTGAATCAGGATCCTCTACATAGAAGAGTTGTAATCAAGGGATTGAAAAGGGTATCACACACACTTGATCTTAGCCAAAAGGCCGAGAAAGGTGCAGTAACTGGGTAAATTGAGACTGCCTCATTTCATTTATAGATGAGGAGTTCAATATTTAACCAGCCCCGTCACCCCGAAGTCTCTTTGAACCCACAGGGCATTACCAGTACTCTAATTTTGTAGCACGATGAACAGACAATAGTTGATGTTTATTTTTCCAGTCATTTTAAGGGTTTCGTTTGCTAGATAACAAATTTGAATGGAGCCAGCCAGAGCACGTCTTGTGATACATGTGTGGTATTCTGCACTTGAAAAATTTCTTCGGCCTTTCTTATTTAATGCAATTGTTTATAGGCTCTCGTAATGAAGCTTTGTTGTTTCTTTTGTTCTTGGTCAGCTCTAGAAAAGCTTACTCTGTTGAATATGGAGGGTTGTCCTGTCACTGCGGCGTGCCTGGAGTCTCTTTCAGGTATTGTCTGTACGAAATTAGATTGTACGCGAATATAGCATTCCGGGCTGTCAGTTAACTACTTGGCAATTGCAATGACTAAAACCTGTTTGCTAGTCCTATCGATGTTAAAATCCAGTGATGGGGTTTTACCTAATCTGAGAAATCCTCTACTTCAGAAAATGCTTGTTTCCTTTGCCACCTTCCCATTTTTTAATTTCAGTTTTTGATGCATCTTTTTACTGTTTTTGCAGCTCTTCATGCTCTGCTATATTTAAACCTGAGCAGATGTTGTTTGACTGATGATGGGTGTGAGAAGTTTTCGAGTGAGTTTATATTTTTATTATTAATTTATCGGCTCTTATTATCTGACTTGGCATATCATTTCAGATGCATGAGCCATTGATGCATTGTGATCATAATATTCGAAAATCGAAGTTAACTCGTCTACATCATTTTTCATTTTTCTGTAGGTTTGCAGAGTTTGAAAGTGCTGAATTTGGGATTCAACGAGATCACAGATGCCATTCTTGTGCACCTGAAAGGTGATATTGTTTTCATATGCGTCTTTCATGTGGTTGGGATATTGACTGCTCGTTCTGTTTCTGCTGTAGCTTTAGGGAGGCCTACTGTTACTTGTTGGAATAAATGGTGGTTGGTCACAGATGGGATAGGATGGTTTACCAAATTATTGTGTAGGGACTTTGTATGCCTTAAGTCTGCCCGGGGTTAACATGGAGGAGATGGGAATAGGATCAATCGCGGTTCCCATCCCCCCCTTCCCCTTCCATGACCAAAAAAATGAAGGGGAAAAGAAGAGGAAGGGGATTGCTAGTTCAGTTCCCTTATTAGGCCGGTTAAAGATACTATCTTATGGACTTGAGTTGCCTAGCATGGGGCTGTAGTTGGATTTTACCTCTCCCAAAAAGGAGACAAAAGCATGTAGTTCTGATCTTGTAAATTTACGCAAGCTTTTGTCTTGCTTTGAGCAGGTTTCACAAACTTGGAGAGCTTAAACCTGGATTCATGTAGGATTAAGGATGAAGGGCTGATTAATTTGTCAGGTCAGTGTTTCACTATCAACATCAATCAAGTGTGCTTCATTCCCCTATCATTCAACTTATAAGCATATTCCACAAATTAATTTTGAGAAAGTCTTTTGCTTTAATTGTTCTCAACTAAAAAGAAAAAATTGAAGGTTAACTGTGATTTCTTGCCCGGGAGAGTACTCTTAATCCCTCTCTTCCGGACAATTTTATGCCTGTGATCCTTATCCAAAAACAATTTTATGCCTTTTTATAATAGATGTCTTGACCATTTCTTTGGTTAAGATTCATTCTTAAAATTCTTCCTCACTTTATTCTGAGGGACTTGCCTATGTTTTATTTGCTAATCTCCCTCTTCTTTGGTATTCTCTGTTCAGGTCTTCATCGCCTGAAGAGTTTGGAGTTATCTGACACTGAAGTTGGAAACAATGGGATCCGTCATCTCTCAGGTTTCTCTTTTGCATTGTGCATGGAGTAGAAAATTTCAACTGTATTCTGTTTCTTCTTTATTCGGCTGAAGCATTTAGAAATTCGAGAGTATGGCTGGACTGGGTTTCATTCCCACTTGTGACGAGATGATTGTGCTCTGCTTTGTTTTCTAGGTTGCTTTTTTGGGTGAAACATAGCAAATTAAATGTAGTATAGGTAAACCTAAGAGTTGGTAAATAATTTATTGGCTGCATCAACTTTGGTCTTGCTCTATGCTTAAATACAACCAACAAACCCAGTGTAATATAATTACACTGGGGTCTGAGAAGGGTAGTGTCTGCGTAGACCACCTTGGGATGGTAGAGAGGTGGTTTCCAATAGACCCTCGGCTCAAGGAACAGTGTAAAGGAAGCAACAAACCATAGCAACAACAAGGTAATAAAATAACGGAAGCGAACGAGAAAACGAATAATAATAAAGATCTAAGAATAGGAAAATACAAGAATAGTACTATGCTTAAATGCTGTCTGCAATAATTCAACAGAACTCCTTGGAAACCAAGTCTGGATAACAATTTTGGAAATAAAAACTGAATGTTCCAGATATAGTTTTTTGGTCTCGAAGCTGCAGTAAAGTTGCATGAATCTGATTGAGAGTAGTGACTATGGCTATTGAAATTTGAATGTTATAACCGAGGATCTATGAATTGGTTCATTTCCTTTTAGCCCATCTAAATCCATTTCTTGAATGTTATTGCCATGGCAGTGTGAATAGATGCTAGCTCAAGGGAAAGCATTGAACTACTATCTTTAGAGAGTAACTTTTGGCAAAACCCATACCGTAATTGGATAAGTGGACTCTACTTTGCATTTTGTGCTAATGCAATTTGTCTGTTCATTTCTCTGTAGGATTGAGGAATCTAGACATCTTAAATCTGTCCTTCACTGTTGTCACTGACAGTGGTCTAAGGAAGCTTTGTGGTCTGTCCTCTTTGAGGTCACTCAATCTGGACGCACGCCAAATAACTGATACTGGGCTTGCAGCACTTACAAGTAAGAATTTTCCCATAACAGTATCTTTGGTAACACTGTCGTCTCAATTTATTTTCCTCTGTGAATCAAATGTCTCAAAATCGGCAAGTTGAAGATATTTTTTTTTTTGGAAAGACAAATTTCTGCACTCAAAATTCAAAACAGTGCAGAATGCACACAACAGTTACGAGATTTGGGAAGAATGGCAAAAATTCTCTTAACTTTTCCAGATGAAACAAGGATCTCAACACCCTAGTCAATTTTGATCATTATCTAATGGTGCCCAACAACACACAAGCTCCCATAACCTCTCAAACCTTCTAAAATTTTCAGAAAATTTGGCCATCAGGTAAATGGTCCCACAACCAGGAGAAATTTCTGTTTTTTTTTTTTAAACTCTTTCAATTGTGGAGCGTAGAACTAAGGAACTTTGATTTGTTTATACTAACTAAAACCAAAATGCTGATACCAAATGCATTCTCAAATAAAATGCTGATACCAAATGACAACACCCAAATTACAACAACAAACCCAGTGGAGTCACACAAGTGGGATCTGGGGAGAGTAGTGTGTATGCAGACCTTACCCCTACCCTTAGGAGGTAGAGATGTTTCAGGTAGACCCTCGGCTCAAAAAAATGAAAATAAAAGAAACAAGCAGTATCAACCACAAAAGCCAGAAAGAAAGTAACAACAATCTAAGGACCAAAAAAATTGGCGGAAGCAAGCAATGCTTCTTTGGCACAAAAAAATGCTCGACTTTCTACTAATCTCTTACCATAATTCTTGATTTTCACACCCTCATATCAAGGCCATGTCCTCGGTAAGCTAAAGCCATGTCCTTCCTGATCACCTCTCCCCAATGCTTCTTTGGCCGCTCTCTACCTCTTCTACCTCTTCTCATACCCACCAGAGCCACCGCTCACACCTCCTTACAGGGGCATCTAAGCTTCTCCTCTTCACATGCCCAAATCTTTGCTTCGCTTCCTGCATCTTGTCCTCTATGGGAGTCACGCCCACTTTAACATAGATATTTCATTTCTAATCTTATCCAACCTAGTATGCCCGCAAATTCATTTCAACATCCTCATTTATGCTACTTTCATTTTCTGGATATGAGAGTTCTTGACTGGCCAACACTCTGCCCCACACAACATAGTCTGTCTACCCACCACTTTGTAGAACCTACCTGTAAGTTTTGGTGGCACGATCTTGTCACACGAGACGCCAAATTACAAGAAAATGAAAATCAAAAAGGAAAAGGAAATAGAGTAGAGATGTAGAAGATAGCGTTAAAATTGAGATCAAAGATCCTAAGAAAATATACAAAAATCAATATGAATTAACTAATCACCTCCTAATACAGATAAGGTTTAATACCTATAAACATCTCTCTCAAAACACATGAGGAAGTCCAAAACATAGGTAATACCGCCCTGTCAGCTAGTCAAGTGATTAGGGCCAAGTCAGTCCGCATTCTACATCTTCCAAGTCATTGAGCTTGCGTCTCCTTTGAGTAGGTTGCAAAGTCTTGGGCATTCAAGAGTCTCTACACTCATCTTTTGGTGGTCCATGTCATCTCCCATCTCCGGATAAATTGTTGTATCATCTCCATATTTTCTGATCTCCCATCTCTGGATAAAGTGTTGTATCATCTCCATATTTTCGAACTTTATTGTAAGGAGGTTGTAATCCTCGTAAGTTCCTTCCTTGATCTCTTCAAAGACGTCCGTCTTCGTCAACATCAAATGCAAGTTATGGAATTCTTTGCTCGACTCCTTGTAAATGTCCTCCTTGACATCACTTGACTAGAATCCCTCTCCTTGGATATTGGTGTGGTGCCCGGTGTTTCCGATGTGTAGATCTTTCGTCTCTTTTTGCTATTAATTTTTACTAGTTGAATTTGAAAGCCTGGGAATGTCTTTACTTTGTTTTTTTATTTTTATTTTTTATTGTTGAAATAGGTTGTCTCTAGCATTATAATAATGTCAAGCTAATGCTTGCATATTTTACAACTCGAGTTAGCTTACTATGTGAGGCCTTGTGTTACATGTAACTGGATTATGATTTCTGTTTTAGAAATGTATAATTTAGATATTATAATGATTTCTGTTTTAGAGTAGTATAATTAATTTGCCCGATATGGTACAAATGCAGGCTTGACTGGGCTGACTCACTTGGACCTCTTTGGAGCTAGGATCACTGATTCTGGAACAAGCTATCTTCGACGTATGTCTGATCTGTGTCTCTTTTATGCAACATCTGGTTCTCTCCCTTTCGTCTCAATCTGTGTAATGAAGCATTTGGTCCCCTCCCGTTGTCCCTCTATTCTGTTTATTCCTCTTCAGGGTCGGGGCTTTAACTATAGTCCTGTTGATGGTAATATGATTATGTAATATAGTGTACTTATCAAACAAACAAAAGAAGATATGTCAATCAGTTCGTTCCTGTTGCTTGTGGCCAAGGGTGACTTATTCATGTGAAACAAACATTAATCCTGATATGCCAGTGCTACTGCAGTTGTGTTACTAGATTTTCAGATTGGTCATGCCCCTGTTCTTCTTTTTGCCCTTTAAGAATCATAAAATCCCAGTTCATATGTTTACGCCTTAGAGTAATTAGAATGTGTATAGATTATCACATCATACTTCTGAACTAATGATTATACTGGTCAATCATGTCTGATGATAGATTTTAAGAATCTGCGTTCTCTGGAAATCTGTGGTGGAGGTTTAACCGATGTTGGTGTAAAGAACATCAAGGACCTGACGTCCTTGACATTGCTAAATCTTTCTCAAAACAGTCACCTCACGGATAAGAGCTTGGAAGCGATTTCTGGTATTGTTGCATTCTTTTGTGTTTTTTTTTTTCCCAGTGTCCTGGCTTCTTTTTTTTTCCACTTTGATTTTACTAGTCTGAACAAAGGTATATTACGTTTATCTTCCGCCATCTCAAGGCTTTTTTATCGTATGCTTTTGGGCAAAGTAGCTGAATTAGTCATTTGGCTGCGAGTACTCTCCTTAATTCCTCCCTTTGTTCTTCTCAAGGAGCTTTAGCAATTGATACACCAATTTTGTGATTTTTCTTCGAGAATTAGAACAAACTATGCATTTTCCCCCTACCAAATAGTCTTTAAATTTGTTTGAATTTCTGAATTTCTTGCGAATTTACTTTCGTCTGCACTGGAATGCAGGGTTGACGCAGCTGGTGTCTCTGAATGTTTCAAATTCCCGCATAACAAGTGCAGGGTTGCAACATCTGAAGCAACTCAAGAACTTGAAATCACTTACCTTGGAATCCTGCAAGGTGACTGCAAATGACATCAAGAAACTGCAGTCGACTGAGCTCCCAAATCTGGTGAACTACAGGCCGGAATAGATGGTGCAAGGATACTTTCTGCGATCACCTGGTCAGTGCTGGAGAAGTGTTGTACATAGATCAGCAATAAAATGTGTTATTTGTTGAACTGTAAATAATCTGTCTGCTGAAGATTTGGTTAGATCTCATTCTTCAGTGTGTCTTGGTCTTTTCATAGTGCCACAGCATGAAGTTTTCTTTCATATTGTGCGCTTCAGTATGAAGGAAAATGTACATAAGCTTCCTTGGCACTGGATGGAGGTAAATAGGTTTTGTACATATTCGTTGTCAAACTGTTAAGAAACAGTAATGCGCTTCTGAATTGGGGTCCTTTTGTTGGTTCTGGCCTATCTGGCTTTAGTATGGTTTCTGACTTAAGGCTCAGATACGGAAATGAATGATTATTCTCCTTGGCAAGTTGTGGATGCCGTGAAATGCTTGGCTATTGTACCATTTCTATTCCCAGTGGACTCTTACCCAAGGACCTTTGTCTGGATGAATATTCTGTGGACATTATGTTGTGTGATTCTCAGTTCAGTATTTACTTTATCCTAAAATTTTAGATTAAAATAGTAGCCTGAGTAATTCTTAAATAGCAGCTCTTTAGAGTGGCTAACTGGTGTCATTTCTGCTTGATCTTCCTCCTGTCAATATAAAAGTTTGTAGTAGGATTAAGTATTTTTTGGACGAATGCAGGAATAGATTTAAGTGTAAAAACTTTAGGTTTCTGAAAAGTGCAGTACTAACCCGTAAAGACGGTTAACCTTTGACACCAACTATTAGGATTACTTATATGAATAACGTGTTTTCACTTTTAATCACATTTAATGGTTAGTGTATTTTCCATGGCAACCATTTGTCTACTATGAAAATTCAGTCTGAAGGAAGCTAAAATAATGTAGAAATCAACGGCATGGCACAAAAAAAAAGGGTACGTAATAGTTGGGTTCTGTCAACGTTATGAACTGAAAGAATCCGAAATTAGTTGCAAGCTCAGAATTGGATTCTGATCATTATCTTTTTCACAAGATTTCTTCGTCAAGAGTTACATCGTGTCTCTGAAATTTCAGCATGTAACAGAAAGATTACACTTATGTTCCAAAAATGGTGCAAAAAGTTGAGCTGAAGTAGATATACGAAGAACCAATTGAAGCGTAACTCAAATTACAAAGCTAGTAGGATAAGTTTCCTCACTAAACTAAAGATATTAGAAGAGTAATGCATTCATTTTACATTACATCTTACCGCATGAGTTGTACATTTACACATTGGAGACTACTGGGCTAAGTTATGTCCTGTACCAAGAAAATCTGTAATACAGTACCACAAATGAAAGTCACAACATTGGTACAAAAAACCAAGAACCTTAAGCTGCAACTAGTGCTAAGACTCCTAGCCCCAGTCGATTTTCTTTCCCTTTCAATTGCAAAGAACACAAGCATTGGGCGATACATTACAGTTTGTGTTTTAACTTGGAGGACTCTGGTTAGTCTACTAAAACGAACATTTACCCGTTAGTCTGAACTGAAATTTGGGAAATATCCAGCAAAACAACACACAAGACCTTGTACTCAGTGGCCTCTTTGTTATCTTGGTGCTTGTTCGGAGCCTGAAGCTCCGACAGATGGAGCGGTTGGCATACCATTTGCTGATCCATTTTCAAGTGGCGGAGGGACCCCCCATTTGCCTTCAGATTCAAGTGGTTCGAAAACATGAACACTACCATCTGACAAGCCTAATGCGAACTGGTTTGGATCTTGTGGATGCGCTGCAACTACAACTGGGTGGACATTCGAATTGCTGCACAAAATATACAAGGTTTTTGAAAAATTACTTCAAATATCAGAGACGAAATTTGTTCGGCCAATTGACCATGTATCCTCACATTACTTCCCGAGGATATCAGACAGAGAAAATTACTTATTGTGAGGACTCGGGATGCAAAGAAGTAACAAAAATTAAACACCTGAAACATAGTATTTGGAGGGATATTCCTGTGATGCTATAAATGATAAATTGATAATAAATGATATTACAAATACATAATTGCAAAATGAATTCTTTTGGGATATCTATTGCACGTGGTCAATATTTTGAAGAAAGAATATGGTCTAGAATGGTGAACTTTGTAATCCTCTTGAATGCATTAAATTTACGTTTCAACATAGCCTATGCATTGGTTAATATCTTTGTACCAATGGCCAAACCAGTGGTTTTTTTTGGGTGACAAGTTGAAGTTCAGACTTCAAGCCTGGATATTGCTTTGATACTGAGTTCACTATTCTATCTCATGAAGGTCTAACTTTTAAAAGAAAAGATGTTTATTTTGTCTTCAATAGTGGAGGCAGAATATCTTAGAATTAGAGCAGTAAATAAGTTAGCAGCGCAGGAAAAAATACCTAATACTTGGTGATAGATAAGCTGAAGGAATAATACGGCATCGCATATGGAGGGGCGTAAAAGTGAATACGCAAACAGTTGCATCCAAGAAACTGGCATATATCAGCTGGCTATCACACGAGAATGTCGCATGAGAAATAGGGGCAGCACTTTCACGTGGAACCCACTGTAGAAGAAGATATTATGTATTAATGTTGAGATCAAGCGGCGTTTGAATAACCAACTGCAGTCACAAAGAGGACTTACCTGCTTTACACATTCCAATTTTGTTGTTTCATATATAGCAATCTGCGCCTCATGCACAACCAGGAAATGAGTTTGGTCCTGATGAAACTGCACTCTGGTATCTGACTGAGATGTTGATCTCCCCAGCAGCTGCAAGGATCTAGCTCTCTGCTTTTCCCACCCATCGGTGCTCCATACACACAGCTGTACAGAAGCAGATGAAGTTGATGAATACAAATGGATAAGAGTACAGAGAAACATATAAAATGTTCCTTTAAAGAGTGCCAGAAATGCAGAATGATAACTTTGATAGACTAAACGAATGATATTTGAAAAGGATATTGCCTTGGCATTTGTCATCAACGGAAGACGTTAAAAATGTCAGATAACTAAACATGACTGCAGAGGGGAGCTTACGCAAAAGGAGATAACCTGCAATATACTCCTCAGCTCATCTTAGGCTATATATTATAGATTTTGGTGTCTCCCAAAATGCTTGAAGCACTTCTAAAACAATAATTTCATGTATGATTTTGAGGATCTTCAAAAAATCAGAACTCACTCAGCTCTTATAAAGAGCATGAAATGATCTTATTCTCCATCAAGCTTCTAAATACAACTAGAATATTTATCATCTTCTAATATGAAATGCAGTGAGATTACTTCTAATTCCCATGCCTAGTTGATTTGCTTAGTATTGAATCGGATGGTGTTATGCATTTTATGCAACACTGTTAGTAGAGAAAATGCAATCTATCATATACATGTATTCTCCACATTAATCTTGAGAGTAGTCTAACAAATCACTGAGAAGTAAGTCAAATAGTACATGATAGCCAAGAGTATCAAGCCATTAACCTGAGAATCAGCTCCTGAAGAAACCAGCACATTAAGCGAATGAGAGAAGGCGAGGCCAGTTATCCTTTTAGAGTGGCCTTTAAGCTTGCTTTTAACCTTCATCAAGATATTGACATCTAGTGAATAACGATATATGGTAACTGGCCCAAAAACATGAAATTCTGATGACTGCCAATAACAGCAAAACCTTCTTATTTATCTCTATCATACCTCATCCACTCGAACATTATATATCTGGATGGTAGAATCATCCATGCCAATAGCGATAATGTTATTATCTTGAGGATGGAATGCTAGAAAAGTTGCTGCTGGAGGTGGGGGCATGAAAGTCGTCATTGTCTGCATCCAGAAGAAAATTCAAAATTCAGCACCTGATCTCTGGGTAAATGTAGAAATAAAACAAGACAATCTTCCTATACCTTGAATGTCATCATATTGAACAAGGAGATCTTTCCTCCAGATGCTGACATCACATAAGAGTCATTCTTGGACAAAGCAAAGCAGGAAACAGCTTCCTCATGGTTTAGTTCGGTCACATCATTTGTCATTAGGATGCCACTTGAAGGTTGCCACAATTGAGGTGATACACTGGCTGTTGCCTAAACAAGATTACCTCACTCCTCAGAATCACTTCTTTACCAAATGGAGGAAAGCAATAATTTTGGTGTGCATTTACCTTTCCACTGGAATTGCGTTCATTTCTTTGCCACTTCCAAAGCAGGTGAATAGCATTTGATGCTAATGCTAAGATAGCATTACCAGAGTTTGTATATATTAACCTTGATATCTGTAGTAATCAAGCATTAAATCAGATCAGGAAACTCTGAAATCAAAACTAATACAGTTGAAACAAACCAGGCAAGAAATATTGATAACTCTCCAGGTCAGTATTGTTTCCAGTGAGTTCTATGCGAAATTTTCTGTTAACTGATACAATGTCTTACATCCAGGTTGCATAATCATGGAGACACAATGGCATGCTACCGGATTGAGTGGGTGGGTGGGGGTNGTCCTAAGTTGGACAGTAGTACAGTTGCCAAATCATTGCAGGCATAAACTTTAGAGGCCTTTTTATCTACTTGAAAAGATAAAGATTTTTCTCTACTCTGGACAATCTGAAGGAATGAAGATGAAGGCCGTATGGAGGTGCAGAAAATGATACTTGAATATCTGGAGATATGAACTTGAACAATCTATTAGGAAAAGAAAAGAGACTAAAACACAGAATGTCTAGGTGCTAGATTTTGTTCAGAAGGCTTTAGACCTCCATGACATTGTGATTGATGACCTTGATGGACTTCCATTGCACTTGAATAGAATCACATTCAGTGACCAAGAAAGGGAAAAGAGAGGGCACAAAATCAATATATTCCCCTGGCATGTTGTCCTATGGTTCATTTCCTCATTAACCTAATAATTTCATTTGCTGATGGCATGTTGTTCTATCACACCTTGATAATGTCAATTGATGCACAAAGGCAACTTTTAAACTTGAAGGGACAAGCCCTTACTGAATGTGCATCAAATTTTATACATGAATTATCTGTTATCTGTATGTTCAATGGAAAAATATTTCCTCAAGAAATAAAAAAATGGATAAGTTTCCAGAGTCCAAAAAATAAGATAAGAAAAACAATCCAATTAGATATCTCATGAATCAAGAGATATGGAGTTTATACCTTAGTCACTCTGAGGTTCTCAGGAAGCTTCAAGGACCGGCACTGTGATGGTTCAGTAATTTCAGTGAGCTTCCATATCTTAGATTTATCATTAGGCTCTTCAACAATCCGGGGTTTTACATCCACTGTATTTCTTGCATCTCCATTCTTAAAAGTCAATACGATGTAAAGAAGTATATATTAGCAGATGATATTGACATGAAAACCAGGTAAGACTTCTGGTGTGTCCTCCACCTTTGAACAACAGAACGAGTAACTAGGGGAAAAGTGAGTGTGGACTGTGGATATGCATATATATAGTTTTTCCATGGGCCTACGAACTATGTCAATAAACAAAAACTTCTTTGCATATTTTACATTTGAGAGT